TATGACGAGGAACAGTGAATAGGTCCAGCGGTACCAACCCAAATGACACATTCTCGGTTCGAAGGCTTGGGTCAAAACACCATGTATTTCTGACAGGTGAAGAAGACGAAGAATTCGGTCGTGCGATATAACTAATGTCACAGTCTAACGTTTTCCGTTTACTTTCTCCTGGATAGGTACGCTAAAGTGGGTCACTAGAGCTGGAGCTGGGGGGAGGGGGAATTGGAGACGTGGGTTAAGCATGAAGTAGCCGAGGCAAATGCTTGAATCCCAAAAAGAGGAAATGAAAGGCAGAAGATAGATAGAGAAAGTATTATTAATGTGTGTTTGTGGAAGGAACCCACATGCGAATACCCAGGGGGGGAGGGGATAAAGAGATGAAAACGGACGTTGGTTGTCTGCAGTTACATACTAGTGCTCTCTCTCGGTATGCGACCAGTTGAAAAAAAAACAGTAATCGTTTTTGGCTAGACCTAGCGTCCTTTCAAAGAAAGGTCCGGTTAAATTTGTGGTATGTTGAAATATCTAAATTTGAACACAGTGGAGAGAAAATTTGCACAACAGTTACAAAAAACGATTCGGATTCGGCTCAGTCATCCATCTTAAACCATATTCCGTAGTATGGGGTGGATCTTTCAGTCAATATATGAAAGTTTGAATGATTTTGAATGCAATCTATTGTCAACCAACAACACCTTTAACGAAGATAATCGTGGAATCTGGTTCGGGGCAAATAAGACATAAAATTGAATGGAAACACCTCGATGTGAGTGGTAGCTGTAGCTGACCGGAATCCATCAGCTTTACTCTAACACTAACTTCCAGCTCTCATTACACGATAGTTAAACTCATACTGAATATCCGAAACTGTTGTGGCTCCGATGGCCAGTTGCACAGGTGAGTGCAAACCGTAAATTGCAACAAAAATTGTACAATATGAGGCGTAACCAAGCAGTATTCGTCACCATCCCATTACTCCGGAGGCCGTGTGCTCGAATCCTACCACTATCACCATCTACCGTTCCTCTTTTCCATGCATCGAAAGGCAGCCGTTTGTCCCTATTTGAAAACTGTTTGTACACACGCATATTAAATAAAAAGGAAATTATAAAAAGAAAAGAAAAAGTTTGACAGCCTTCAAATAACTGAACTAATGGTGTGCAATGTTTAACGTCCATGTGGTGCTGCATTCGACCCGGACCCAGTCAGATGGACTTTCGAATACGGAGGAAACGGCGATACAAAGATTCCCTGTTTTGCACATTATTTTATCTTTATCCTGTGCGCGATGAGTTTCTCTAAATGTTGTAAATCATGCAATCAAAGGAGGGCCCAGTTCGCAGGCAAGTTTTTTGTATCATGCTTCAAACAACTGATTTGATCGATAGCGGTTAATAAAGAAGTGAATATCGACCCCAACTTGACCTGTTAAAATGGACTTCATTGCGAACAGCTTGCTCATATGTGCGCTTGTGTGCGTGTGCCCGCGCGCGCGCGCGCGCGCCCACACTGAACAGAAACGGTCCCACTGGAAAGGTCTATTGACCATCAATTAAAAAGGCAATCATAAAATCTATTCCAGTCTTAAACAATATCAACAATTGTAACCGCTATTCGCATCTTATGTTTTATGGAAATAACGGCAATAACGCGTACACCTTGTTCTATCCTGACGTTACATCATCATGCATTTTGTATATTCCGCTCTCTCCCCCTTATGTTTTATATGATGGATAAGGATAAAATTACATTTGACATTTTTCATTAATAAGGGCATCATTTCTTCCTTCGTTCTCTCCTTACCGTTCCCCCTGATTCAGTGATCTTACCTACCTCATCAATTTATCGTTATATGTCCAAATTGTACTGTTTGGTTGATTTAAGTATTATACTTGAATTGTGAAAAGTTCAGTAGCCTCGATAGGTCTTGGTGTGTCGTCGTAGCTCAGCTAGTAGAACGTGCGCTGCTCTAAAGCTTAAGTGGCGTCCATGTGTGGGTTCGAATCTCACCGAGGTTATTGACCACTTCACAAGTCAAACATTATCGCTAATTGTTTATAAATGAACTACGATACGAAGCAGCACATTGCTTCATGCGCAGTCACAACTTGGAACACGCAGACATTCGTTAACTAGCTTATAGGACAGTTGTAACAGTATCGTTTCAAAATCAGACGAATAGTGAACTCACGACAGATTACACAGAATGTTTCATCATAGCCACATCATCCCGGAAATACTGGCAATCTTTTTCACCCAGCCGTTTTCTAGCTCTCATTTCACAACGGAAAAAATCGAGAAAATAGATAATAGATTTTCACTTTCTGATCACGATTCGAGTGGAAAGTACGTCGACCAAGCACCATCGCATCAGACACGTCCTCTCCAGTTCACGATCAGGTCAAGCAAACAATTATCCAACTTGATCGGATTCAACAGTAGTTCTGACCCCTAACGCGTGGCGCACATGATGTAATCTGTTACTGTTGTAGTATTACAAGACTCTCCGCGGTATCTCTCTCGCTCCCTTCCCGCGTGTTCCTCAAAGGGTGCTTGAGAACGCCATTTTGAGCATTTCTTATCCATGTACACAATTATAAACACACCGGTTGCAGATGCACTTGAATACTCCCGCATGTGCTTTAAGTATCCTGACCTGAAGAGGTCATGAGCTTGACGAGGAGCGGGAACGAGGGAGGG